GAACACTTTTTTTATTTTGTCCAAACTAATAGTCATGGAAATAAAAATGCTAGAAAGTTAATTTTCGTGTTCGGTTATATGTGTGAGCCACTGTATATAAAATTGTGGTCTGAAAAGTATGATATGAAAAAATAATAACGATAATGATTACGATTTAATCTTTACGGGCAATTTTAATACTGAAATTTAACTGAAATTCTCAGATGCCACTGGTAAACCTCCGGTTACGAGTAAGTTCGTTCTCTAAAGCTGTCAAAATTGATTATTTGTTAAAATGCTGAATATTATATATCATATTTTGGTTTTATAAGTGTTGTATTCTGTACGTAATTAGGTTAGGCACTACAAATGCAAATCCCTATAAGAAATACATGTAATAGGATGTAAATGTATGTTAAAGCACGAAAAAAAGCACGTAAAATGACTGCCATTGGTACGGAAAATTTTTCCGGTTATTTTGTGACATGGAAACACCCGTAAAAAAGAAAGGTTGTTTGGAAAACCATGTAAAAGCATGAAAACCAACGTAAAGAAACACACGTAAAAAAAAGATAATTTAAAAGCACGGAAAATTACTGTAAAGTTTGAATGAAAATTCATATAGTCGAAACGTTACATGAGAGAGAGTAGAACACCACCAGCCAGTGTTGACGCTTGGACGTAAATTCAGCAATTTACGTCCAAATGACAACACTGCCCCCAGCAGTAACACAATAAAGTAAGTGAGGGTGTTATGGCGAAAGGTTATTATAGCGAAATAGCGATGTCTCGATTTCCAGTGATCGGAATCGCACAAAAATGCCACCATTTGATTCGCCGCAACGAAATAAATCGAATGGTAGTATTTTCGTGCGATTCCGATCACCGAAAGTTACCGTACACAAAAAAAAAATAAAATTTCGGGGCGATATCTCGAACCCTAGTGGTCGGAATCCCATGAAAATACCACTATTAGATTCGCCGCAACGAGACGAATCGAGTGGTGGTATTTTCGTGGGATCCCGATCACTAGGGATCGAGTTATCGCATATTTTAGCTTTAGTTCGCCATAATACAACTAAAATTTTAAAAATGTCATATTTTTACTAGGTTTATGTAGAATTAATTATGCTTTTTAGCCATAATAAATGTTCCAAATATTTGTTGTTTATAAAAGAGTTTCCTAATTTTAATATTAACTTCGTCATAATACCCTCACTTACCTTATACTTTGATATATTGCGAGCAGGTTTTCTTAAGACTACTTAGTAACATATCTTATTTCTATTATTCGTTCTTAATTCTGATATAATTCTATAAATTTAATTAAAAAATTTTCATTTTTGGCTTTTTTTAATATTTTAAGCTACTAAGTTGCCTTAAGAATACTTGTTTGCAATATATCAAAGTATGTTTTTGATAATTTTTATGATGATGTAATAAAATTAGATTAATTGACTTAGTTTTATTTATAGTGTACTATCAGGATTGATCAGATAATTGGACGTCATTACGATAAGTTATTCCATAAAGTAGTCTTGATCGCAATATATATCTGTAAATTTCATATTTTTTTCTAGCAAAATAAGGAAAAATAGCATTCTCATTATATATGGCGAGCACTGTACACCGTTTTCATTGCACTCATCCCGTGCTAGTGTCTTTCGTCTGAAAGTAAAGAAAAGAAAATAAATTGTAATGCTCGGAATAATCAGTATTTGAGTTGTATAGATGGTGACAATCAGTCATAATATAAAATCACATAGACTTTAGCATTAGTAATTGAGACAGTTTTAATATAAGTGTGACAATTATATCCATTACTGCCACCACCAGACCAACAACACTAAATGAGTCATTTTGAGCACAAAAATTAGATGTTTTGTTGATTAATTATTAAATAATTTCTGAATGACAAGTTTTTACAGGGTATCTATACTAAAATAACCAGACTCCAGCAGTAACAATTACCATCATTCTAACACTCATTGTCCAAATATTTACACTTACACATTAAAAAAGGATTTATTTATGATTCAACTCTTGAGACAAAGTGAAGCATGAGCTGTTTCATTCTTGATTTTGTTTTAGAACATACTGACTGTCATTTTAAATTAATAGTTATGCGTTACGAATTTTAAACATTGCTAGAAATTTGAGAGATATTGAAGAAAAGATTAGAAACACTGGTCTCTACAGAATGAAACTTTTTCTTTCATTGGGAGATTTGCTATAATGAAAGTAAGTCAACAAAAATGAAAGAAACAATAAGATTAATGAAAGATCTTATTGAGAAAGAAAAAAATATTATTATACAGTTCAAATATTAATAATAACTCTCAAAATAAATCACACAACAAGATTATTATCTAATAACTGGCCTGAACCAAATGATGCAACAATTATAATAATAATTGATAATTGAGAACCAAAATCAGATGAATACATAATCAAAATGACAAATCAATAATCAAAATATCAAGCAGAAGTATTATTAATACTGCAATAAATTCAAAAATAAGTATTATCATCATAAAGTGAAATCAAAGAGAAAAAGAATAAATCACTCTTATAATAGCTAAAATTACTCCTTATTATTATAATATCATCAAAAATTTATAAAGTATTAAAGTAAATATCAGTGTTCTATAATAATTAATTCAAGTCACATTCAAAATTAAACTTGAACTTGAAAATTTGCTCATGCACTAAAAAATTTCTATTGAAAATCAAATAAAATCCTGCTCTCAAAAATAGCCAAAATTAATAAATATCTTCTATTATACATACTATTACTCTTTAATTAGTCAAGTTAAAGCTAATATTGACCAGAAATAAAAATTTTGTGTACTAATCTCCAAGAAATAACTGGATATTAATATACTAATGAATAATACAAGAATTGTAGAGTGCTGTGACATTAAATATTTCAGGCAGAATGATGATCACAATATAAATTAAAAAAATCAGATAATAACTACTTATTTAATCTTCATAATTTGAATTATAAGATATAAATCTAATAATATAACTTAATTACAATGACCAGAAATTATTAGAGATTTATATTTAGAGTTAATAAATAGATAACATGGAAAAATATCTAGTCTTAAAAGAACAAGTCAAAAGAGAACAGTTATACAAGAATTAGTATTCAAAAATATGAGAATTTTAATTAATTGCTCTTTATATATTTTGTATTTGTTTTCTCAAGAAATTGATAATATGTTAGTATTTTTTTTGTTCTTTTCAAAATTCTATAAGATTTTATTTTCATCTTGAAAAGTAAATTATTAAGAAAAATTCATTCTATTTTCAGATCAAAAAACTGAGCCAAAATTATTTGAATTAAAATTTAATATTCAGAATTCGAGAATAATAAATATCTGGATTATAAGATAGAAAAAAATTATTATTAGAGTAAAAAAATAATAAAGTTATTGTCTTTTATATAACTGATTCATCTTTTTCACTTATATTTATAAAAGATTAATCATATTTAAATGCTTATATTGTGTCAGATCTTTTTCAAGTTGATTTTTTCTTTATTATAGTTGAAGAGTATAAATATTCTATAAATATAAATATGAAAAAAAAGTTTTTTTTTACCAATAAGTATGTGTTATAATTACAAATAAGAAATGCTATTATATATAGAACATGTAATAAAAATATAGTTAATCAATCAGATACTAATTTTCAACACTTAAGCAATTATTAACTAAACTAAAAAAATTACTAAATAAAAAATTGAGAAATATAAAGCTTGTATTGTATGCATTTAATTAAGAAACAAAAGATTTTTTACAAAATAACAAAACAAAAATTTATATCTCAGTTATAAACCTATTTTTAATATTAAAGAAAGTATTATATAAATATGATTAATATTTATTTAAAGATCCAAAAGAAATCAAGATAATAAATATTTAAAGTATCAATATGAACAAAGATTTGAAGCAGTTTAGCTTAATAATAATTACTTTGTAAAGAAATTTTGAAATTAACAATTTTTATGTTATTACTATAACAATATATATATATATTTGAGCTAATAATCAATAGTCTTTCTTAAAATTTTATTATATTGGAAATTAAATAATTTTCAAACTTGAAAATCTTAAGTCTTTTGTACTTCTAATTAATATAAATATTAATATAGATATTTTAGTATGAAAAAATAATAAGAAATAATTATTATAATCAAATAACTTAATAAAAATTCGATTTAATAAATTATATTTATTTACTTTATAATTGAATAATCACTTTCTGGAATTTTTGAATCTGATTACTAACGTTGTGAAATAAACAAAACACGATATAAAATATACAGTCATACCTAAATTATATCACCCATTTTGTTGCTATATGTTTTTTGAATTTTTGTGGGATATAACTGAGGATGGTATATATCTGAATACATATATATAAAGAACATATAAAAATTTGTTCCAGCTCAATTATGGAGATACAAATGAGATTTTAAATAAGCGGGATATAAACCAAGAAAGATATATTTAATATATAGCTAAAGAAGGATTATAACTAGTTCTATCGTTATGAGCATAAATGTAACCAAGCGGAACTTGTGTAGTAGTTTGTTGATTTATAATTTCGGGTATATTGTAAGGTAACGCTGTATTGTGATCTAATGGAGCACGTGTAGTATTGTGTTGACCTACAATTATATTGGGTTGAGTTTGCAATATATTGCTATTGATAGCAGTTTCATTTCTATGTTTTTTACGATAAAACAATATAAAGATTATCGTAACTGACATGACAAAACAAGTGATCCTATTATAATAGTTTTTCGGGGTGTTGACGTTGAAGTTGAAGATGAAGTTGAAGGTGAATAAGAAGAAGGCAGGAACGGAGGTGGAGGTGAGATAGAGTTTGGAGCGATATATTTATCAACCCAGACATAATCTTTTTGAGATAAATTCAAGAGTTTTATATATGCCTTAAATTGCAAAATTAGTTATTATTTTTTCACATTAAATATTAACATTGACAACATAAATTAATTACCGAAAGCTACTATCATGAACTTATTATACATAATAGCCGTATGACGAATTGGTATATCATCAATGCTATGTTTGTTTAGAGTTTTAAGCTCTGAAAATTCAAATGTTTCGAGATTCAAAGAAATCAAGTAATCATATAAAGTATACTCTATTGAAGTATTGAATGTTGTTATGCCACCAAATATAATAATACTTCGATTATCAGGAGCTAAAATTAATATGAATGGAAAGATTAGTTTAATTTGATGTAATCGAAATATGTTAGAAAGTATTCTCTTACCAATAACTGCTGAATGAGCAAAACGGTTGCTAATTTTGTTTTATTTGTTGCAGTCTTTTTTAGTTAAATAAAATATATAAAAATTAATGTTGAATTTAAGTACTATTTTACTTGATTACACTCACTTTTAAAGACCACGGAAAATCCTTGTTTGAAATATCATATATCAAAATCTTTAAAAAGTTAAAAATAGAAGTAATATTACTTTACATATGGTGTAGAAACTCTAAAATCGACAATATGTTTCATGTTAAAAATCCTAACAACTTCTTGACTAAGAAGTAAATACAAAATTTAACCTGTAATATTATCAAGAAAGTCCTTTCCTATAATATTACAGGTTAAATTTTGTATTTACTTCTTAGTCAAGAAGTTGTTAGAATTTTTAAAATGAAACATATTGTCGATTTAAGAGTTTCTACACCATATAAAATAGAATATATTTAATTTACTTGTCGAATATCAGCAACTTCATCAGTTTGATGGACGCCTCCAATATAATAAATTTATCATCTTTAAATGTTGCAGAGTAGGCTTTTCTTTGATCCGGAACATAACCAGAAGGTAGAATTTGGTTCCACGTTGAACCAAAAGTATCAAATATATACATACTTCTATCTAAAGTATTAGTACGTCCACCCCATATATGAAGTTTTCCTTTGTTGTCAATGACAGAAGACATGCAGCATTGAGCTTGAGGAGGGGAATCAACTCGCAAAAATGAAAAGGGCAAAGTGCTGACATCAATTTTATAAAAGTCATTTGTGTCAATAAGATCTGAAAATTTTCTGTTGTTTGGCTTTATTGTATTTAAAAGTAAAATATAATTTAAAAACTTTTTCAAAAAAATTAAACATCTATTTTGCATAAACTTACAATCTTCCCACAAAATGCATATACTACTGAGTGGTTGTCTTTTTTCTGTGTGCTAAAGGTGGTTAAATCAAATCTTGGTGCAGAATCAGAATTATAAATTCTGATGTGGATGTATCCCAATCTTTAGAAAGATCCAAAGAAAGCGCATGAGTTTCTGTAAAGTCAAGACTATCAAAGAAGATAATCTTGTTGTCAATTAATATTCCAGTCTCTGCCTTAGGTAATTCTTCAGGAGAGTACGTGCTTGACATTGAAATAATGAACATTAAGTATAAAAATATCATTGAAATTGCTAACATTTTTAATTATTTTTCTATGTCATGAATAGGGATGCTAACGACTTGACTTAGTCGACTGACTCTAAAAAAAAGTCGACTTGATATAAAAGTCGACTTATTTTTAGAGTCGGTCGACTAAGTCGATTATATGATTAGATATTTAATTTTCTGTGATGCTATGCATGATTATTAAAATTGTCTATTATTCTTTTTATTGTTATGT